CTGCCGGAGGATGTCGCGCTGGTGGGGGCGACGCTGGAGGCGGTGGGGGAGGGGCCACCGGGGTAGCTGTGGCCCGTGGGACGGCCGCCGGCGGGCCATGAGGCGTGGCCCGGAGCGCCGGAGTGAGGGCCCGGTGGGGGTGGGCCGTAGTGGTGCTGTGCGAGAGCCAGAGGGAGGGCGGCCAGGAAGGCGGCGGAGAGGGAGGACTTCATGTTGCCGTGCAGCGATGCCAGTCACCAATGAGGAGAGAGAGGAAAAGATCTGCGGAGAGGAAGGAAGCGAAGAGCTTTGTACCTACCTACCTGCCGCCCGTAAGCCCGTCCGAACCTTCGCCGTGCGGACACTCATCGAAGGCGTTCCGTCGGTCGAACGTTTTTGGGGGTGGATTTGATGTGCCATTACCTCATCCGTCCCCACGTGCCCTGGTGCGGGGATCTGGAAAGACGCGGAGCCCCGCATTGGCGGCGCAGCTGCGCCAAAAAGGGCCGATAGAGAGTCGATAGCCTTTCCCGTTAGCCAGGAACGGCGACGGCTCGGCTCCTCTTGGCTGGTCGGATGTGGTAGGTATACGACGGCATGTCCTCGGCGGGATGCCAAGTCGGGCGGAGAAAATTGGCGAGGGCCGCGGGGGAGGCGATGACAGCGACGGGGTCTGGACTCGCGAGTCCCTGCGGTTTGACATCAGCGCACAGGGCTGCTTGCAATGACATGCTGGCAAAGCCCTGTGAACTTTCAATCAATAATGTAGCTGCGCTGGACACATGGTATCATCAAAGTCTCGGCTCATGAACGCTCAACCCCCACCACACCCGCTCGCTCAACTGACCGGGTTCCTCTCCCATCTCCCCAGGGCGACCCTACGCCGCCTGCGCGTTCCGACTCTGCCACATCCCCCGCTGCGCCTCCTCCACCCGCCGCCGCTGCTCCGTAATCTGCGCCTGTGTCTGCCCCCGCCCGTGTCCCCGGGGGTCCATACTATCCATCTTATTGCCCCCCTCCTGCGGCGCCCCGCCATCCGCATCCGGCATCTCCGTGTCCTGCTCCATCTGGCCCTCGCCACTGACATCCTCCTCCTTATGCGGCTGCTGCTCGGCCGGGGCCGGGATATTCCGCGTGCTCGCCGCGCCGTGGTGCTGCTGCGGGTGCTGCGCGGGCTGCTTCGACAGCGCGCCGTCCATCATGCCCATCCCGCCCGCGCGCAGCTGGTTGATCGCGCGCACGGTGTCGATGGCCTTATGCAGCGTCCGGCGCGCATTGAAGTTCTTCTTCACCGTCGGCAGCAAATCCTCGTCGCCGCGGTCGGACGACGGCCCCGCGATCCACTGGTGCGACAGGGCGTCGTGGGCGGTGATGCGCTGCGTGGGGTCGATGGTGAGGCAGCGCTTGATGAAGGCGCGCGCGGTGAGGGAGACGTTGCGCCAGTACTCCAGGGGCGTGAAGGAGTAGTCCGCGGCGAGGATGGCCTGCATCTCCTCCAGGTTGCTGTCGCGGTCAAAGGGCGTGTAGCCGCAGAGGAGGAAGTAGGTGATGACGCCGATGGCCCAGAGGTCGACGGGCTTGCCGTGCCCGCTCTTCTTGAAGATCTCGGGCGCCATGTAGCCGGGGGTGCCGCAGGTGGTGGTCAGGACGTGGAATTGCTCCTCGTCCATGATGCGCGAGAGGCCGAAGTCCGCGATCAGCAGGTCCGCGTTGTCCTCGGGCGTGCGGAAAAGGAGGTTCTCGGGCTTGAGGTCGCGATGCACGATGCCGTTGTCGTGGAGGTAGGCGACGGCGGAGAGGGTGGCGCGGATGAGGCCCGCCGCGTCGGATTCATAGTAGGAGCCTTTGCGGCAGATGCGGTCGAAGAGCTCGCCGCCGAGCGCGAGGTCCGTGACGAGGTAGACTGCGGCGGAGTCAGCTGGCGCTGTTGACGTACGGGTTTATATGTAGTCCCTACGATTGTTCATGGTCTCGAAGTAGTCCACCAGCGTCAGGATGTTCTGGTGGCCCACGCTGACGCGCTTCAGCACCGCGATCTCGTTGCGCACCATGTGCTCCCGCCCGGCCATCAGCCGCTTGTTGGTGACCTTCGCGGCATAGTAGCGGCCGGTGTCGATGTGCACGCACTCCTTCACCACGCTGTAGGAGCCGGCGCCGAGCGTCTTGCCGGTCTTGTAGCGGCAGGGCTGCACTTGCGCCGCCATGCTGGGCGGTCAGGCGCCGCGGTGTGATGATGGTCGCGGGCGCTGGAGGGGGGGAGGCGCGCGACTGAGGGGGGCGATCAAGCGACGGTAGTGCTGCTGTGTAAGATACTCCTCACCAGGCTGGGGAGATTGTCGAGATGGAGAGTCAGCTGTATGGGCTCCACAGCTCACCCCGCGCCAAGCCCCTGCAGGGCACATTGGGAGACTCAGTCAGCACAAATGGAGGCTTGAGAGCGTTGGAAGGTATGAGTGGGCAAAGTACAGGTATCTCTGTCATCAAGTGCTAGCGTCAAGTTCATCATGTTGTATAGGCCGGCGCCTCCGAAACGTCGTCGTGGCCACAGTGCCATGTCAACTTTGCCCTGCAAACGCCGATGCGATCAATACTTGCGGGGATCCTCTGTAGCGCCGTAGACAGCGTCCCTCGGAATGCCACGCCTCTCCAGCGCCTCCGCTAGAGACGGCTGCGCCGGCTCGCCACCGAAAGAAACGAACTTGCCAATTAAGTCCTTCTGCTTGCACTCGTCGTAGAGCTGCTGTGCAGAGCCACTCCCATCTTTTAGATCCGAGGGATATGACAGCATGCTGCAGTCTGACTGGTCCGGGCCGAGGTATGCATAGGAGCTTGCCTTGCCGTCGACCACCGCAGGCCTCGTTGTCGTCAGCTCAGTGAGAAGAGGACGGTGGCCGAACTGCTTGATGTTCCTCTTGGTGGCCAGAGCCGCCGCGCCAGCACTCTCGCGATCCGTGCGGCGGACCTGCTTGAATGTCGACGACAGCCAGCCATCCTCCTTCAGGTTTGAGTGGTGATTATCCCCAGGCTCGATGCCAGCAGCGATCTCCTCGAGAATTTCTTTTGTCCGATTCTCAATATGGTTCTGCAGTCTTTTGAGCAACGTGTATTTCTTGTTGCAGCCGTCGTAGCAATGGTAGAGCTGGTCGGGCGACATCAGCTTAGCGAGCTCGACCTTGCGCACCCATCGCCTGTAAGGCGCATGGGTGTTGCCGGCGGTGTGGCGTCGGAGGCGGGAGGCGCTCGAGTACCATTTGACCTTCATATCACCGGTCACGGTTTCGTCTGCAAGACATTCGGTGCACTGTCGAGCGGCACCGGGCAATACCTGCTTGTCTAGCATCATGTCGAAGAAAGCGGCAAGGGCGAGCTCGAAGGACACGATGGCGGTCTCCTTCTCGGCGTCGGCAAGGTTGTCCGTCTGCACGGCGTGCACCATAGGCTTATACTGGGAGCCCAGCCACTCAAGAAGGATTGGCAAGCTCTCGTGATGCTTCTTGGCTTCGGTGCTCAGATTCGTCCAAACGTCGCTCTCCTGGTAGCTTTCGAGTGTGACAATCCACGTCTTCTGGAACGCGCTCGGGTATCGCGCGAAATCCATCGATTCGCGGAGCTGAAGGGCCTTCCTGATGTTGTCGACAATCGTCCGAGTTGATCGGTCCGTGTTTGGCAAGCGCTCATCGACCTCGGGAATGAATTCTGCAAACGTCGTCAGCCGCGAGGTACACCAACGCATGATGCGGTAACGAGACAGGCTACCGATGCAGTCATGGTGCACGTTGGAAAGATAGCAGATATTGAAGAATGAGTGTAAGCTTACCATCAGGAATGTCGGTGGCCAGCGCATCATCCGTGTCCCGGGAATTGCCGCTCCTGCCATCGATCGACACGTGAAGCTCGTCGTTCACATCGCGCTCATCCTCGTCGTCTTCGACAGCAGCATCGCCACCGTTGCCGTCGGCATCGGTGTCTGATACGTCCGACTCGTCATCTTCGTCGCCCAGGTCCTCCGCGCTGGACTCAGCGGCGTCAGCATCGAGTTTCTTCTTAGCACGCTCGTACATGGCCGTTGTCAGGGCGCTTGGGGCTTGAAGGAACTTGGCGCGAGCCTGCAACTCATCGTGAGGGAAGATCTTTAAGGAACTTCACTTCGGCCGCGAGCAATGGGACGGCCGAGCGCCAGTCGTCGTTCGCGACCACCCATCCTTCCCGTCCGACCCATGCCACGGTGGCCCTAGGCGGCGTTATCCTGGCTGAGCAGCACACGACGTCCGCGGCCACCTTCAACACCGCCTCTTCCAAGGCGACTTCGCGCGCTGCTCAACTCAGGTCATCGACAGGGCCGCGAGAAGCGACTCGCAGGCGATCGCATTTCCGACGCCATAACGCGTGAGCCTAGATATCATGAGACGCTCGCCACCAAGACATCTCGTGGATAGCGACGAGGGCGAGTATGAAGGTGGTGTGGTCAGCAGTGCGGTCCACCCTACCGGTTGTGCTGTTGCTTAGACGACTTCCGAGGGTCTCGGGGACTCGGTCACGTATACCAAAACCATGTACCAAGTCAGGTCATCATCCACGTCGACCAGGAGAGGCAAGCAGCCTGTCAGTCGATGTGGCACACCTGCTGATAGACCTCTCCCCTCGCATACCGACCTGCGCTGGACCTCGCTTGCCGCGGCGGCCCATCCATGACGGTAATCGTGTAACATCACTCCGCCCTCGGCCCAGCGCCTCCTCCATGTGCTTGGTCTCTTCGTGCATCACTTCAGACGCGTGTAGAACCGAGTGCCTGAACGATCAGAGGGAATATTGATGGAGGCTGTAAGATATGGAGTCACGCGAGTCAGGTGTGCGGGGCTCAAAGTTCACCCCGCGCCAAGCCCTTGCAGGGCCTGTGAGGCGCACATGGGTCAACGACACCCTAAACAGCCAGGAAAAAGAGCACACAGCGACAGATCAACATTTTGGATCAAAAGGATGATATTGTGCTGCGAAAGGACCTTCGATTGAGCCAAAATTAAAGCTCTCACGCTGGTTCGAACAACGGGCCTTAGGATCTTGGCTTGGCATGGCTTGGCAATGCTTAACATGACTGCAATCCCACGCTCTACCACTGAGCTACGAGAGCATTCCAATTGCTGGAAATCAATGGCATTATAACGCCTATGTCCAGGCCTCAACCTCGTCAGCGTTGTCTCACTCCTACTACCCGGCATACACCAATCCTATGGTGCGAGGAGATCAAGTACAGCAGAACACATGCCATTTTTGAGATTTTGCTGACCGCGCTCGTTGCGTTCTAAACACATCGAACTCCATCTTCACCTGCATCACGATGGACATCGCTCGTCCGAGTTGCTAATACACTCTCGCGAATAAACATGAGATTGACACACCGCGATCCAACGTATATCGCAACCTCACGCCACGGGGGAAGCAAGCCATGCAGCTAGCAGTCGCCTGAGTCTGCATGGCAGGACTTGAGCGTAGCGCCAGATTGAGCGGCTTTCGCGAGCCTCTTGGCTGATGGCCGCCGGCGAAGCCGTCTTCGGCTTCGGATTGACAGGCTATGTGCGACCGGTTGGCGAGGCTGTCGTGCCATACCGGTCAAGCACGCTATCGGCAGACCCAGGTCTTCGAGTCTCCGGGGGGAGCAAGCAGAGCGCGGCGCATCTCAGTCAGCTACGCTGTGTTTGCATGGAGTGAGGTCACAGCGTCTGTACGTGCCGCCTCTTGGTCCCTTCCCTCCTCGGGTCGTGCAGTTCGCTATAGCAGCCTCCCGTGATGGCGAGTGCGGAATCCAGGACACTACCGATGGCACCATCACCATTGCAACGCCGGCGCCTTCTACAACCCGACTGACGCCGACGAAGATCCGCGGAGTTGGCGCGACCGATGCGACGTCGATACTCACCTTGTGTCACAAGCCGGCGACGACCGCACAGACTCTGCTAAGGCGTCGTAGGTCACGCCGGAGCAGCTGTAAAGCTGCTGTAGAGCTGGAACGCGGTCCCGGGGCTTGCTGGCGTGGATCGCGCTACGCAGTTCCAGGCTGGAGGCGGACTGTGTTGGTATCCGCGGCTGAATTGTGCACCGTAGCGCACTTGAACCGCTTACGCTTGGGCTGAGACAGCCGCAGAACGAAGTCCACAGGCTTGTACACGATCGGAGTCCCACGATAGATGCTGGGAGTCACTTAGTCCTCGCCGCGGCGTCCACCGGGCGGACTGGGTCGTTTGCTGCTTCGTGAGCCGTCTCATCGATCTCGATGGTCGTCGCGCAGTACGACAGGTCGTATTCGAAGAGTGCAGTGACCGTGCACATAGCCAACGTAAGGCGCAAGTTGTGAGGTCGGCTGGCCCAGTCTCGCCACCGAGTCATGAGCCGGCGTGGCTGGCAACCACGACGCCCTCCATCTCACCGAAGCTCAATCACATGCGGGACATGACGCACGCGTGAGCTTCCAAGGTGCTTCCGCGTGCCACAGAATCGAAGACAGAACGTCCCGTGTCTCATACTACACCACATCACGGGCATGACCAGACCAGGCTGAGCAGGCTACCATATCTCCTTCGCTTGTCGCTTTCGCCTCCGCCACCGCTCACGTAGTTGACACCACTTCCATAGGACCGTGACGAAGCTCCCGACCCCATTCACAAGCAGCAGCAGGTACTGCTTAGACGATTGTGCAACCAGACCGCACATTCTGTTCGGGCGATACCGAGCCGCACACCACCACCTTGATCACAAGACCACTACAAACGCCACCGACCTTGTACCGGCGATTGCAGCAGTATGGAGCTCCTCCGCGACGTCGTCGACCAGGGCCGTCGAGCAGCCGTGGACCTCCTCCACGGTCAACAGATCAACCACTCGGCGCCCTTCTCACCCGACGTACCAGAAGATCTACGCAACTGGCTCCCCGACCTCTTCGACCGCTTCCCAATCGTCTTGCCGTGGGAGAAGGCCCGGCCCGTGGACCCAGCCCTCCACAGTGTGTGGATTCTCGACAACACTGCCTTCCGAACTCCCGCTCCGGGAGACCACAGGCCCAACCTGGCGAAGCTGCAGAGCCACCATGACACTCAGCCGAGATTGACCAGCCAACCCGGACAGACCACGCAGAGTGTCCAGCCTGGGACGGGCGCCTGGGAAGCAGAGTTCGTCGTAGCGTACTTCATCAAGAACTCTGGCAAGGACCTGGCGCATGCCACCGCCGCGCTCATCAAGCAGCTGAACGTCGACGACTCGGATGAAGCGACCAAGAAGCGCATCAGCGCGCGACTGCAACCCTTCATCGACACCGTGCTGCCCAACCGCACCCTGCGCATCACCATCGACCAGCAAGAGGAGCAGACGCTGGGCCCCTCCTCCTACTCCGGCCTCAGCTCCGGCCTCCTGCAACTCCACTTCACGCCCTCAGCGCCACAGATCGAGTCCAACGCGTTGACAGTGCCACCCCCCTTCGGCCTCCCCAGCACGACCATCGTCGCCGAGGAGCAAGGCTGGGCCATCATCAGCGATATCGACGACACGATCAAAATCACGCAGACCCCGGACCCCATCGGCATCCTCAAGTCCACCTTCGTGGTCGAGACGCCCGATCCGGTGCCCGGCATGCCCGAACTATACGCCCACATCACCCAGACTCTGACCACCCCTCCCCCGCAAGCCAGCACACCCCCCAACGCGCCCCCCTTCTTCTACCTCTCCGCCTCCCCCTACAACCTCTACCCCTTCCTCCGCCGCTTCCGCGACACCCACTACCCCCCGGGCACCATCATCCTCCGCGACGCCAGCTGGCAAAACCTCGGCGGCCTGATCGCCAGCCTGCAGGACAACACGAAGGAGTACAAAGTCGACCGCATGGTCAAGATCCACTCCTGGCTCCCGCACCGCAAATTCCTCTGTATCGGGGACAGCACGCAGAGTGATCCCGAGGCCTACGGGGAGATCGCGCGGCGCTTCCCGGGGTGGGTGCGCGCGGTGTTTATTCGGAAGGTGGAGGGGATCGCGTTGATGGATGAGAAGGCCAAGAATGCGCCGGCGAGGTTTGAGAAGGCGTTCAAGGGGTTGGACCGGAGGCTGTGGCATGTCTTCACCGACCCTGGGGAGTTGGCTGAGAGGGTGGAGGAGTTAAATCGTGATGGGGATGCGCTGGGGGGTGGGGACTGAGAGTTGGCGTCCGCTTTGTGGGCTGCATTATGCGGTATGACTGATGAGGAAACGCACGACATGCCTGTCCAACAGCGACTGCACGAGACGAGTCTGCATCGAGACGTCAAGGGCTGATGACAGCAAGTCCGTAACGCGGGATGCCACGCTTATGTCCAAGCTATAGACATGTTGCGTGCCCGCCTGCTCTCCCAATGCCAACCGCCCTATCTACTTCGCCACGGGGCTCAAAGCACCTACAATACATACCGGGGGTATAGAAAGAAGAACCGCCCCGACCGGCTATATATCGTGCACATGCGTCGTGAGATCGTCCGCCGCCAAATCCAGCTTCCCGATCCACTCCAGACTCACACACGTGGCCGAGCTCCACCGTCAAAGCCGACGTCGTGTGGAAACCGCCAGTAGGTGCGCCCACCCAACCCTCCTGATCCATCAGAACAGACATGCTTCACGCCAACACCCGACTCTTCTGCCGCCGGTGGAACAGGTTCCGGAGACTCAGTGACCGCCCACTCCCGCCCCCACTTCCGCTCCCACTCCCACCTTTCGCGGTCGCCGTTGCGGTCGCGGTCGTGGGCCGACTGCCCGCTGGCGAACCCGCCGGACTCCCACTCCCATTCCCCATCCCTAGCTTAGACGCCGACGTACTCTGCACACTCCCCGCATTCCGCCCCCCTTCTACCTCACCACCCCGCGACGCCGGCGTCCCCTGCGCACCCCCTCTACCCCTCGAGCTCCCTATCCCGCCCCGCATGCTCGCCGCGCTCGGCGTCAACGGCTCGTCCGCGCGCGGAAACAGTCCCAACCGCGACGGCGGGCGCTGGGGCGTCGCATCCGCGTCTATGCCCGCCGCAGTCGGCGGTAGAGGCGGCGGATGTGTAGGCGGGGCTTTCCACGGGTTCTCCCCGCGGCGGTCCTCGAGGAGGGGTTTGCGGGGGATGCTGGCGGGGTTGGTGGGCGGTACGGGGGCGGGGGCGGGGGCGGGTGTGGTTGTGGGAGTGGGTGTAGGGCCCGGGCTGGGCGCGATGGGGGTCAACTCCGGTCGGTAGCCGCGCGAGGCGTCGATGGGCGGCGGGATGTGCTTGAGGCGGTGGGAGATGCGGCGGGCGAAGCCGGTGCTGCTTGCGTGTCAGAAAGGCATACTGTGGCAAACATGCATGTATGGCACGAATTGGTATAAGCTTACCTCGCGACCGAGTCCTTCCGCCCCGCCGCGTCCGCCCCGCGACTGCCGGGCCGGCTCGCGTTGTTGCCCTGGCTCGTGAGAATGACAGCCGCGCCGTGGCTCTTCGCTCTCGCGGGCGCCGCCTCACCCGCCACCGCGCCATTCATCAGCTCATTCGCGCCTTGGCTCCGCGCTCTCACGGGCCGACCCCCGGTCTTCGCGCCCGCGGCCGCCACGCCCTCGGGAGGGTGACTCCGCAGCGGGTTGATATGGGTGGGCAGCTCGGCAGGAGGGCTGCCCCGCCGCGAGCGGCCAGACTGCCGCAGGAACTCCGCGAGGTCGTTCGTCCCTCCGCTCGACATCCGCGCGTCGCGCGGTGCCCCGGCCGTGCGCGGCCGGGCCGGACTCCCGTTCGGCATCGCGGAGGCGCGTCGCGTATTGGGAGGCGGTGGTGATTGCGGGGATTGCCGCGGCTGCTCGTAGCGCTGCGCAAAGGGGACCGGATGCGGTGTCGGCCCCGTCGTCAACCGCGCCGCGCCGCTCCCCGCGTCGGGTTCGCGCGGCAGCGGCTTGTTGAGCGCGAGCGCGAGCGCGATGGCGGGTACGGGTACGGGCACGACGGCGGCGTTGACGTCGTCGTCGCGAGCGAACTTCGAGCGCAGGCCCGGCGAGACGGGCATGGATCGCGTGGAGCGCGAGGCGGACTGCGCGCGGCTGCTCTGCTGCGCACTGCGTCGGCTGGCCGCGGCGGCCAGCCTGGACATCTCGCCGATGACCGTGCCGAG